AAAAGGGGGTAGGTCAACTTTCTTACAAGTTGATCTTGCAAGTCCTATTGTTCGGACGTTGCAGTTGTTGAAGAAGCGTGACCTTCGAAGGAACAACAAAGCCAGCACGAGTGCAGTAGCAACATTGGCCTTGCGAAGATATACCGTGCAGAAATTCACACAAGTGTAATTGTTGGTTCATTATTCAACAACCAACTACATAGTGGATTTTGAGGACGTAGAAGGATTACCCCACCTTCGAACCTCGTTAAAGTTTGCGTGTCTCTCTCTCTTTTATCTTCACTCTTACTTACAATTAGATTAACTGTGAAAACTAATCCATCCATATTGATTACTGCTCACTCTACCCACCAAATTCCGCATACAATCTAAAGTTCACAAGAACTCTAGATTAACACTTACTTTCACGTTTTTAAAAGAAACGAAAAAGATTTTAAATCTGTAACAAAGTCTATTCACCCCTCCTCTAGACTTTGTATTTCACCACTTTGGGACCACCAGTTGTAGAGGATGACGCCTGAGCTAAAAGCGCAAATCAAAGAGGCTAAGTCCAACAACGATAAAACTCGTCACATTAAAATATGGGTAATACCACCTTAATCCAACATCCACTAGACCGGGCTAGATGGTTACAAGATAACATATTTGTAAAGAGATCACGAGAACAATTTTTGCCTAACTACCGATAGCACACACACACCTATATATATATATATATATAAAAGAAACTCGTATTCTACTTGATTGCTTTACTAGACGCAGGTTCGAGCAAGGACAAGAGAAGACGATGTACCTCCAACGAACCCCTAAGTAGTGAATGGTAGTTCTGCAACTGTATAGCTCAGCGCACACTCCTCGCACTACAAGGAGAACTAGAGGGCATCCATCCTAGATCGCCTATCATGGCGAGGGAGGAACACTAGAGTTTGGAGCAACACCAAATCGTCTGGGGGAGACCAAGGAGGAGGAGGACCAGTCCACAGCTAGCGAGCGGGACTGAGTTCTCCCCCCATGTCGACGTCCTGCCATGATTCAAACCGAGCATCACCCTCGGCTGTTTTTTTATTTTTTTCATTTAGTTCTTGATTTATTACTCCCTCCGTTCTTGAGTATTTGTCCACTTTTGATATTTTTGTCAAAATTGATCAAATTTGACCTCAAATTAAATCAAAATAATATTAGATATTGATACAAAAATAGTTTTATTAGATTTATAATATAAAATATTTTTAAAATATTATTTTATAAAATCAAGCTTATCATCTGATTTGCTGTGACGTTCATAGTCTCTCAGTCAAAAATGTTTTCATGTTGGGGAAGAAGAGGAGGATGGAGATGGACGATTACCTATTTCAATTAAGGTTTGTTTATGAAATTATATAAAAAGATTAGATGACGATCAACTAATTCACTTACTTCAAATGTGTTACCAACTCATTATTTCGGATGTCTGTCCGTCAAAATAATTTTATATAATTAAGTCCAGATCAGAGCTAATTCAACTACACTGATTGAAGTAGTAATGTAAAATCTGATAATTTATGGAGTGTAAATAAACAAAAAAAGAGGACTCCGTATTACTCCGTATATAATTGAAATTCCTAATTTGGATTTTCGAAACACAATTGGTTTGAAAATCCACTAATGTGGTACAAGTGAAAAACATATGCTAGTTGACTGAGTATTTAAGAGGCCAGGGCATGTTAGTATGTAACTCTTTCCACCTTTAAACATCTTTGACTTTTTTAATACATTGGCCTCTTCCGTGACCCGTCTCCACAACTTAGCTTAACCGCTCTTCCAAAATACATTTATTCAAATTAATTTTTTTGAAATAGACTAAAAGAATTATACTAATTAATTTTTAGGAAAAAATACATTTAATATCATTGTTCCAAGAAATTACTCATTCTTAAATCGTTGCTCCATAATGCAAACTAAGTTCTTTACATTGAATTTTCATTGAAAAATAAAAATGCATTTTTATTTTTATCACATAAATTATATATGAAGGATGTTTGAAGTAATATTTATTGTCCAAAAAATTACTTTTTCCTTTGACAATGTTCTAGAAACAATACACATAAGTCTTGTTCCAAAAAGGCAAAATCGCTCATTCCGAGCGCCCATTACCCCCTGCCCGACGAGATTGTGAGAGAATGTAAATCATGGTGACTCAAAACTGAGGGTGTGACCAGTGTTCAGATTGCACAAAAAGCCCCCCACATTTCTTTGACAGTTCACTACTCACAAGTGAAGTAAACTAATTACTACGAGTACACGCTAAATAAATATTATGTCCCGTTAACATAAATAAGAGACAGATATTTTAGACGGAACTTCATTAAAAAAATTAGGGCAAATTATTGCAGGAACAAGAACGTAACACTAGGGTAAATTGTAGGACAAATTCTTCATTCATCCCAAAAAAATACAGTAGAATGTCATTATACAATGTTATGATCTTACTGTGCAAACTTCTATTTTGGAAACTAAAACATTTTGAGGACAAATATTTTGTTTTACTCATATTTAGTTTGATTTCTTTAAAATCTACCATCTCCATCCTAATGCATTTGTTTATTTTAATTTTTTCAAGTCAAACTGGATGAAACTTTGACCATAATTAAACAAAAATTATACTAATGTATATTAATACTCCCTACGTCCCAAAAAGTACTTCACGTTTCAAAAAAATCGTGTCCCCAAAAGTCCTTCCCAATTTTTTTAAAAAACCACTTTTACCCCTTACTTTTTCATTCTCGATCTACCTATCACATCATACTTTAATTTTTTTCTAATAATGCATATATCACATCCTACTTTTTCTCATCCTGCCAAGGATACTTTTGAAAAATCAACACAAAATTATCTCTTCCTTATTTTACCACTTTAGTCAATATGTCCTTATCTTTATTGGGCGAAGGGAGTATAAAAATAGTTTAATTAGATTTATCTCGTTGTGAACTTTCATAATTTGATTTCATATATAGTATAATACATAATAAAAATAATTAATGATTAAAATTTATCGAATTTAACTTAAAAAAGTCAAACTAGACAAATAATATGCTCTATATTTTGTCTACCATATTCAATTCAACACATGAATTAATTCTACTCAAATGCGCTTTTTAATAAATAAGCGTATGGTTGGGTGTGTCAAAGTTTACTCTTATGTTGTTTAAACAAAAAAAAAATTATTACTACATTCGTCCAACATTAAAGATTATAAGTTGGTTTTTTACCGCCAAC